CAGGATGAAGAACATCATTCAGGAAGCTGCTGTTGCTCTCAGACAAGCACTGATGGTAAGATGACAGCGCTGACTCTGAAACGTGTGCAGGTGACAGGTGTCGTACTTTCTGCTCGATTTTAGAAAAGTGAGCTTCAGTGAAACCGACATCATTTCAAAGTAAAAGTCTGAAACCTTCAGCTAACACAGAACACACGAGGTATTCGCCTCATTAACGTTTATGTTTCAGAATACAGACATGAAAAAAGGAGATTTATGACAAGGTAGAATTTATCTGTAAAACACAAAGTTGTTGCAAGCAAACTGAATTCATTTTATTTCTCTGTCGATGACGATGGTTCAATGCTCCAGTGAAGAAGGTGAGGTCTTTATCTCAGCCAATCAGACTGTTTCAGTCTTGTTTTCACCTGCAGGAGGAACACATGCAGCAGGACTCAGAGGTGGACCAGTGGAAGCAGCTGATGCAGAGGATGCTGGTGCTTTTAAGCAGAGACGGATTTGCCAGCTCCGCTGCTGACAGCGGCAAAGTGAACGAACTGCAGACGCCTGACTCTGCAGCAGCCCGGTAATAAAATCAGTGCTCGCTAAGATGGTCAGCAAATACCCGACAGATCGACGACTGACAGAAATCCTGCATCTTTATCGTCTGTGTAGAACAAGAAGTCTGGATCCAGATTGGAGTTTCCAGTTCCAGCTGGCCCGCTACAGGCCGGGAGATCTGGGTTTTGTGCCTCGCCCCGCGCTGAAACACAAAAACGTGCTCCCCAGGATGGAAGCTGGCTCCAGCAGGTTTGTGAGGACCTCAGAGCTCAGCTTCAGGGTCTGCAGGGGGATGTCTGATCACAGCTACAGCTGCATTTATCATATGATATAGCTGTTTACAACTAACATTTAAACTCTCCATTCCTTCATCAGTTTAGATATCAGGTAGACAACATCCTCCTATTTAAGTAGTTCAGTTCATAGACTGTACGTAAAAGAGGGACAGAGCCTCAGTGTTTGTGTCGTAGCCTTCGCTGTGTTGAAGCAATGAGAGGTTGTTGTGCTGACTTATCTTCTCCCCACAGCAAACTGCATCCATAAACTGTAGAACAAACAAACACGTAATCTGAGCATCACACTGATAAATATTAAAGAAAAGCAGATTGTTCCAAATGGCACAACCATGGAGGCGTAGCAGGGCGACTGGACACATGTGTCAGCATCCACCTGTCAGTGAAGCCTCAGCAGCATCAAAGTAAACTAGTTATTAAAAACATGTTTTTAAAAGTTGAGACTGACTCAGTGATGGAGAGAGGTGGCCACTAAAGCAGTTTGACCTGGAGGTTTCCCTTTTTTAGCTTTAAGTGTATTATGTCACCTGACTTTCTTCTTCTTCTGTTTTTTTCATATCCAGGAAACCGTCGAGTCTGAAGGCGGACAGCTCTGTGAAGCTCACCGATTCAGCTGTGACCTCCAAACAGACCAAACTCAAGTGACAGTAACAAAACTCATCTCCTAAAAACTGTAAAAGTCGATTATGTTGCAGTTCAGTCTGACATCTGTGACTCCTGTGAGCCTGTTACAGTAAAGGTGACGCCTCTGTAACAAACTCTAATAATGTTCCTGCTGTTTCTGGCTGTGTGATGAAAACAGCTTGTCTGTTATTGTGCAGTGAAACAGGAAACATGTTA